AGCCGTCTTGGGGTCGCGGGGGCGCCCTCTTGAGCGGTTCGGAGCCGTCTGTGGGCTGTCGGGGCGGCCTCTGGAGCGACTCGGAACCGTCGTGGGGCCGTCGGGGCGTTCTTTTCAGCGGCTCGGTCCAGAAAACCTTCTCGCACGCACTGTTCCTGGTATTGTAGGAGAGACTCGCGCTGACCCGTGGACTACGTCCGCTTGCGCGGGAAATAGGTTGTGCCGCCAAGCGCATTCGATAAGGTTGGGCCCCATCCTCGATTTTCGTATCTCACTGATAAACGAGAACGCCCAGTGGTCACGGGCGTCGTGTCCAAGAAACTCTGGGTCGAAGCTCGCCGCTGCTGCGTGTCGTTGCTGCTTGTGGCTGAAGGGTGCTGCCGATGGCCACATCTGCGGTTTTGGGGGTGTCTTGCGGCCTCTCGAGGGTCTCTTGGGACTGGATTTGGGCGACTCTCGGGCTGCCTTGGGGCCGTCTTGGGCCGTCTTGGTTCGCTCTTGGAGCCCTCTTGGGCTCCATATGGGCTGTCTTGGGGGCCTATTCGGCCGTCCTGGGTCGGTCTGGAGCGGTCTTGCAGCCATGGAGGAGCCCTGTGGTCCTCTTTGGGCCGTGAAAAAGCGAGAGTCCATGGCAGGCGGGAAGACACGCGCTGGTATGGAAACGGAAAGACTGCTTCGGGAACTTGCCCGAAATGGCTTATGGCGCTCTTCGCTCTTGGGAGCCTTGACGTACAGGGATGGTTACGTCACCGCTCGTTATTGGAAGCTGTGGCTTTCAGAGTTTGTGACCTTGCGGCTCGCTCTCGGGAGCCTCGGGTTGAAAAGCTTGTTGTGTCACCGTTCGCTCTTGGGAGCCTTGGATTGAAAAGCTTGCTACTGTACCGGTCGCTCTTTTATTTGGCGTCTGTGCGCCTTCTCAGTGGTCCCTGTGGGGAACTGTTTGGGGTTTTGCAGGGGCCGTTTTGGGTTCTTTGGGGCAATTTTGGGATGTGTTGGGGCCCGTTTGGGCCGTCACGGGGCGTCTTGGAGGCCTTGGCCCGCCTTGTGGCTCTCTGGGGCCCTCTTGGGAACCTCTTCGGGTCCTCTTGGAGTTGTCTTGGGGTCCTCTCAGGCCGTTTGAGGGCCCCCTTGGGCAAATTTTTGGGCCCTCTTGGACAATCTCGGGGCCCTCTTGGGGGCCGCTTGGGTCGTCTTGGGGGGTTTGGGGGGGCATCTTGGCCTGTCCTGGACCGTGTAACTATACAAAAGGCGGATGTGCTGAAAATGTACGTTGTCCCATCGGAATGTGATGATTTGTGCCTCTTTGGCCTCCTCTCGTGGCCCTCTCGGAGAGTCTTTGGGGCCTCTTGGACCGTCTTGGAGCCACCTTCTGAGGTCGTTTGGGGCCTCGAGGCCCGTCTCGGGAACAACTGAAGCCGTCATGGAGCGCTCGTGGACCGTCGTGCAACCCAACCCCTCCTCCTCCTCCTCCTCCTCCTCCTCCTCCTCCTCCTCCTCCTCCTCCTCCTCCCCCTCCTCCTCCTCCTCCTCCTCCTCCTCCTCCTCCGTCCCTCTCCTTCCCTCCCTTCCCTCCCTCCCCTCCCCTCCCCTCCCCTCCCGCCTCCTGCGAGGCGAGGGGCGCCGACCGATGGGCAGCCGCCCTCCACGCCCCCCGACCGCGACGCCGAACGCCGAATCTCGGTTCGGACAACCTGGAGGGGTTCGATTCGTGTCTTGACGAGGGGAGGAGGAGGAGGAGGAGGAGGAGGAGGAGGAGGAGGAGGAGGATAGGAGGAGGAGGCGGAGGAGGAGGAGGAGGTGGGAGGAGTAGGAGAGGAGGAGTAAAGGAAGAGGAGGAGGGGGGAAAGGGAGGAGGATGACGGGGATGAGGAGGAGGAAGGCGGAGGAGGGAGGAGGGAGGAGGAGGAGGAGGAGGAAGAGGAGGTGAAAGTATGAGGAACGAAAAAAAAAAAAAAAAGAAAAAAAAAAAAAGAAAAAAACAAAAAAAATAAAAAAAACAAAAGAAAAAAAAAGAAAACAAAAAAAAGAAAAAAAAAAAAGGGGGGGGGGGGGACAAGGTGGCCAAAAAGATCCCGGCGCGCAATTTTTTCGGTTCTTCCACCGGGCGTTTTCGCCCGGTCTTTTGTCTGGCCCTGCAGGGGCCATCACGTTTGGAGGCCTGGAAATTGGCACCAGCACCAACACAAGGGGTTTGCCTCCACAGGGGGGAAAGGATCCTAGATTTCGGTGTTGGTGGTAATGTGTCCGTCACCCTGGCAGCCAGAATATTACCACCATCACGGGCGTCATCGAGCATCGAGCGCTCGGGGCCCGTCTCGGAGGCCCTCTTGGACAGTCGTCGGCCGTCTTCGGGCCCTCTTGGGGGCTGCGGGGGCGGCGCAGAGGCCCCGGGACCGTGCTGGTGGCCGCCGGAGGAGCCCAGTCTACGGCCGATGCTCCCCCATTTGGCTAACGGTGAACGCTGCATTATAGTAGAGATGGCGTCGGACTCCAGCTTCGCCTCCCACATCTCGCTCAGCAGCGCCAGCGCCGGCTGCCACTGCCCGCCCTTCTCGCACGCGCTGATCCCAGCGTTGTAGCTGACTAGGGCAGACCTGTGGACTCCGTCCACGACATCAGCTCGACGTGGCGAGGGGTCTCTGGGCAAGCGCGGGGGGGTGCGGCTGCAGGGCCGAAAGGCAATCATGATGGCGTCGGGCTCCAGCTTGGCTTTCCACTTAGGGCTTCGTGGGGGCCGTTTGGGGATCTCTTGGGGCGTTTTTGCCTGCGATATGCCTGTCGCCTCTCGTCCGCTCCCCCGCTCCTGAAGGGAATTCTGAAGCCACTGAAGGCTTCTCTTCGACCTTCTTTTGGGCCTCCCGGGGGGGCTCTTAGGGCCCTCTCGGGCCGTCTTGGGTGCCTCTTGGGCCGTCTTGGGGCCGTCTGAGGCCCGCCTCGGCGCCTCTTGGGCTGTCTTGGGCCGTCTTGGGCCGCTCCTGGGGCCGTCTTGGGTGCCGTCTTGGGCGCCTCCTGGGCCGTCCTGTGGCCGTCCTGGGGCGTCTTGGGACCGTCTTGGGGCCCTCCTGGCCCGTCTTGGGGCTCTCTTGGGGTCCTCTTCGGCCGTCTTGGAGCGGTCGGGGGGACTTCTTGGGCCGTCTTGGAGCGTCGGGAAGCCGAAGAGGCGAGGAGGCCGAAAACATAGAAAAACACAATAGAAATCGACGCTTTCTGTCGCTCGAGGCCCTCTTGGAAGGCCTCTTGGGAGGCCTCTTCGGGCGTCTTGGACGCCTCTTGGGCCGTCTGGGGCGAATCTCGGGCGTCTTGGGCCCATCTTTAAGCGTGCCGGGGCTCTCCGGGGCCGTCTTGGGGGCTTCTGGGGGCCCTCTCGGCGTGTCCTGGAGCCTGCCCGGGCGGCCCGGGGCGGCCCGGGGCCAGCCCGGGGCGGTTTCGGTGCATTGGGGCCTGCGCCCTTCTGGCACGCACTGGGCCCTGCAATGTAGTAGAGACTAGGGCAGACCTGTGGACTCCGTCCACGACATCAGCTCGACGTGGCGAGGGGTCTCTGGGCAAGCGCGGGGGGGTGCGGCTGCAGGGCCGAAAGGCAATCATGATGGCGTCGGGCTCCAGCTTGGCTTTCCACATCTCGCAGTGCAGCGCCAGGCCCCGCTTGTCGTAAGGGTGCCTTCTCCTCCTCCTCCTCCTCCTCCTCCTCCTCCTCTTCCACCTTCTTCTCCTCTTTCGCTGGATTCTCCATGCCCTCGGTCGGCAATCGTCGATCCTACGACGACTCTCCCCACCAGAGAAACATCGAAGGCCCTCGGAGCGTCCAACATTGTTCTTTTGTGCCTTCGATATGCCGGTCGCCTCTCGTCCGCTCCCCCCCTCCTGGAAGCAATTCTGAGGCCACTTCGGGCTTCGTGGGGGCTGTTTGGGGATCTCTTGGGGCGTTTTTGCCTGCGATATGCCTGTCGCCTCTCGTCCGCTCCCCCGCTCCTTGAGGGAATTCTGAAGCCACTGAAGGCTTCGTGGGGGCCGTTTCGGAGTCTCTTCGGCCCTCTTTTGGGCCTCCCGGGGGGGCTCGTAGGGCCCTCTTGGGCCGTCTTGGGTGCCTCTTGGGCCGTCTTGGGGCCGTCTGAAGCCGGCTTCGGCGCCTCTTGGGCTGGCTTGGGCCGTCTTGGGCCGCTCCTGGGGCCGTCTTGGGTGCCTCTTGGGCCGTCTTGGGCGCCTCCTGGGCCGTCCTGGGGCCGTCCTGGGCCGCCGTGGGGCCGTCTTGGGGGCCCTCTTGGCCCGTCTTGGGGCTCTCTTGGGGTCCTCTTCGGCCGTCTTGGAGCGGTCTGGGGGAGCTCTTGGCCCGTCTTGGAGCGTCGGGGTGCCGAAAAGGCGAGGAGGCCGAAACCATCGAAAAACACAATGGAAATCAACGGTTTCTACCGCTCGGGGCCCTCTTGGGAGGCCTCTGGGGAAGCCTCTTGGGGCGTCTGGGAGGCTTCTTGGGCCGTCTTGGGCCAATCTTGAGCGTCTTGGGCCCATCTTGGGGCGTGCCGGGGCCCTCCGGAGCCGTCTTGGGGGCCTCTTGGGGCTTCCTTGGCGCGTCTTGGGGCCTCCCGGGGCGGCCCGGGGCGGCCCGGGGCCAGCCCGGGGCGATTATGAGTTAATGGGGCCTGCGCCCTTCTGGCACGCACTGGGCCCTGCAATGTAGTAGAGATGACGTCTGGCTCCAGCTTCGCCTCCCACATCTCGCTCAGCAGCGCCAGCGCCGGCTGCCACTGCCCGCCCTTCTCGCACGCGCTGATCCCAGCGTTGTAGCTGACTAGGGCAGACCTGTGGACTCCGTCCACGACATCAGCTCGACGTGGCGAGGGAGAGACTAGGGCTGACCCGTGGACTCCGTCCACGACATCTGGCCAAGAGTATTCTAGGGGGGAGCGGCGGGAATGGTGCCGAAAGGCTGTCCGCCCCTTCCACAGCAGAAGCACCGGCACGCCGCAAACAACGCAAAAAAGCAAATCAAGAGCCACAAAAAAAAAGACCAGCGACAGCAGCGCCCCGAGCCGGCGCCGCCCGACGGGGACGATGACTGCGGCGGCGGCGGCGAGACACAGAACGCTTGCGGGGAGGTAGTTCGGGCGCGCGGCGCCCCCGCGCGATGATCCCACGGTTAGCCACTTAGGGTCTCCTAGGTGCCGTGTGGGGGCCTCTTGGAGCTTCTTTTGGGCTTCGAGGGGGACTCTGGGGGCCCTCGTGGGCTCTCGTCGGTGCCGTTTGGGCCGTCTCGGAACCGTCCTGGGCCGTTTTGAGCGCATCTTGGGCAGTCTGGGAGCCGTCTTGGACCGTCTTGGCGGCTTTAGGGGCTGTCTTGCGTGCCTTCGGGGCCGTGTTGGAGCCGTCGTGGGCCGTCTTGGGCGCCTATTGGACCGTCTTCGGGCCGTCTGGGGCCGTCTTTAGGGCCCAAGAGGGCCCCAGGACGCCGCCAGGCGCGGGCCCGTCATTCTGCCACGAGAGGCCGTTCTGTGGCATAATGCGCCCAGCCCTGTCTTGGAGGGGCCCGAAGGCCTCAAGAGGGCCGCAAGAGCGCCCCAAGGGGGCCCCAAGAGGGCCCCAATCCGCATGTACTTGATATGCTCCTTGGGTTTGTGAGATGGGCACCCAAGTACAGCGTGTTGTGGCCCTGTCAGGGCCATCTTGGGGCCCTCCTGGCCCCCTCTTGGGGCCCCTCGGGAGCGCTCCCACCCTGTCCTGCCCTCCTCTTGAGGCCGCCATGGGCGCCTGAGGAACCGTCCTGGCACAGTCTTGAGCCGTCTTGGGGCCCTCCTGGCAGCCTCCTGAGGCGTCTTGGGACGATCTTGAGGGCCTGTGTGGCCGTTTTCAACGCCTCGAAAACGAAAAGCACGGGAACTCCCGAAATGTGCGGTTTCCCTTGGGATTGGGACGATTGTTCCTTCTTCGGGCTCTCCTGGGCTCTCTATGGGCCTATGGGGCCCACTTGGAGCATTTTGGGGGGCTCTTGGGCCGTCGGGCGGCTGTCTTGGGCGTCTTCGAGCGTTCGGGGCTCGTCTTGGAGGCCCTCTTGTACCGACTTCGGGCCCTCTTGGGGCCCTCTTGGGGGCCTCCGGGGGCGGCTCGAAGCGCTCTTAAGCCATCTTGGAAGCGCGCTGGGGCCCCAGGGCCCTCTGGGGAAGGTTCTGGGGACGTCTCATGGAGCACCTTGGAGGCCTCTCGGTCCGGCTTGGGCCAATCTTGGGCCAGTCTCGAGCGTCTGGGGCCCACCTGGGGGCCAGTTGAGCCGACTTGGGAGCCCTTTGGGCCTGTCTTGGGGCTCTCTGGGGGGCCTCTTCGGCTGTCTTGGAGCCGTCTTGGGGACGTCTTGGGCAGTCGTGGATCTTCTGGAAGCCGACATGGCGAGAACGGCAAAAACCTTGCAAAAAACAAGGAGCATCTATGTTCTTTCTTGCTCGGGGCCCTCTGGGGAAGCTTCTGGAGAGGTCTCATGGAGCACCTTGGAGACCTCTCGGGCCGACTTGGGCCTCTTGGGGCCCTCTTGGCGTGTCTTGGAACCTCCCTGGGCGTTCCTGGGCGGCCCGGGGCCAGCCCGGGGCGGTTTTGGCTTCATTGATCCTGCGGCATCCTGGCACGCACGACCCTTGTTGAGCCGACTTGGAAGCCCTTGGGGCCGCAGCTCGGACCGTCTTGGGGCCGTCTTGGGCCGCTATTGACCGCTCTGGGGCTGTCTTGGTTGCCTCCAGGGCCGTCTCGGGCGCTTCTGGAGCCGTCGCGGGGCCGCCGCGGGCCGGTTTCGGGCCCTCCTGGGGTGCTCTCGGGGCGTCTTGGGGCGATCGGGAAGGCCTGTGAAGCCGTCTTGGACGCGGTGAAGACGAAAAGAGCGAGCATATCAAACATGTACGGTTTCCGATGGGAGTGGGGCAATGTGTGCCTCATGGGTCCCTCCTGGGGGTCCTCCTGAGCCGACTTGGGAGCCTCCTGGCCTGCCTTGGAGGCCTCTGGGGCCGACCTGGGGCTCGGTTGGGTCCCTCATGGTGTGTCCCGGCGCCCTCGTGGGCGTCTCTGAGCCGTCTTGGAGCGGCCCGGGGGCTCGCAGGGCGGGGGCTGACCCGTCGACTTCGTCCACGATCAGCAGGTTTCACTGGCGCGCCTCCACATTGGGCCCCCGCCCAGGAAAAAGTCACCCCGAAGCCTTCGGTGACTCTTTCCGGCCGCCTTTCCGAAATTGGAAGGCGGGCGCTTCCTGCTCTTCGTCCGCCTACCGCTCCACTCCGCCTGGAGCGTCGCAGACGGCTATGATGGGTCTGCGGTGTGCCTCTCCCCGCTTGTCTGCTCCCCCTGGCTTGAACAATGTTGAAAATACTTGGGGCCTTGAAAAAAACCACCCGGAGGGCTCTGGTGACTTTTTCTAGTTGCCTTTTCGCAACCTGATGGCGGGCGCTGCCTTCTCCTTCGGAACTGTTTGGGGGCCTCTCGGGGTTTCTTTTCGGTTTCCTGGGGGCCTCTTGGGGCCCTCTTGGGCCATCTTGCGGCCTCCTGGGGTCCTCTTGGGGCTCTCTTGGGGCCGTGTTGGGCGCCTGTGGGGCCGTCTTGGGTCCATCTGGAGGCCCTCTCGGGCCATCTTTGGCCGCTCTTGGGGCTGTCTGGGCGCCACGGGAGCCGTCCTGGGGCCGTCTGGGGCCATCTTTTGAGAGCCCTTCGCGTTTGAGAGCCCCTGTGCAAAGGGCTGCTCAAGTCACCGCTCGCTCTTGGGAGCTGTGCCTGGGAGAGCTCTCTACGCTGCGGCTCGCTCTTGGGAGCCTTGGTGAGAAGAGCTTTGTACTTCACCGATCGCTGTATTAATGGGCGTCTCTGGGCCTGCTTGGTGGTCCTTTTGGGGGTCTTTTTCGAGCCCTTCTGATTTTTTTTGACTGCTCTGGGAGCGTTTTGGGACGTCTTGGGGGCATTTTGGGCCGTCACGGGGCGTCCGGGAGGCCTTGGATCGTCTTGGAGCTCTCTTGAGGCTGCCTGAGGCTGTCGTGGGAGCCTCTTGGGGCCCCCTGAGCTCTCTTGGGGCCGTCTTGGGGTTCTGTGAGGCCGTTTCAGGGTTCTCTGGCGCCGTCTTGGGGATCCTGTGGGCCGTCTTGGGGCCCTCTGAGGGGCCGCTGGCGTCTTCTTGGGACGACTCGCGAGGCCTCTTGGCGTGTCCTGGGCCGCTGAGGAGCACACAAGGTGGACATGCTCCAAATCAATGTTTTCCTATAGGGATTGGACGATGTGTGCCTCTTTGGCGTGCGCTCGGTGCCTCTCTTGGGGCGTGTTTGCGGCCTTATTGGATCATCGCGCGGAGCCCCCCCCCGGAAGGTGGGCCGTCTTGGAGCGCTCTTGGGCGGTCTGGGAACCCCTCTGGAGCGCCGCTGGGACCGGCCTGTGCGACTCGGCCCCGTGGTGGCGCCTTAAAGGGGCGATGTTGTGCACTCGAGGCCCTGAGCTTCTCGCACGCGCTTCCACTGGCCATGTAGGAGAGATGACGTTGGGCTCCAACTTCGCCTCCCACATCTTGCTGAGCAGCGCCAGCGCTGGTTGCCACTGCTGGCCCTTCTCGCACGCGCTGATCCCAGCGTTGTAGCTGACTAGGGCTGACCCGTGGACTCCGTCCACGACATCTTTCTGGAATGGTTCTCGGAGGAACGGCGCAGATTGTACCGAAAATCTACAAACACGGCGGCGGCTCGGGCGGCGGCAGCGAGACCGCGCCTTCGTGTCCGAGCTCTTGCAGCGCTGCAGCAGCTTGGCCCAGCGCACTGCTCGTTCACCCCCCTCCTATTAAGGACAGTTTCGAAGTCTCTCGGGGAATGTGCGTCGAAGTCGAAGCCCATCTGAGGCGTCTCAGGAGCGCTCGGGGAAGGGCTCGGGAGGCCATCGGGGAAAGCCACCGAAAGCGCCGGGGAGGCTCGCAAGGATCTACAGGGAGGGCCCAAGAGAGCTTCAAGAAAATTTGAAATCCAGTGAACTCTTAAGAGAAACCGCTGTTGGGTCGGCCATCACCTCCGGGCGCGCCTTGATGGTGCGATCCAGTCGCATCACCGCCAACGGGAGGGTTTGTTCGCCATGTCCCATTCTGTTCGCCCAGAGGGTCTGTGGAGGCCTTCGGGCGAACAGAACGGGACAGGGCAAGGATGGGGAAGACATGTCCGAATCTCCTGGGCCCCCCAGATGCTCGTCCGAAGAATGCGGAGAGGTCCCAGGGTCATATCAATTGGCTGCTGTCCCAGGGGTCCGGTCTGCTTGGCCCGAAGAGTTTGCCAAGGCCCCTGGGGGAACAGAATGGCACAGCATATCGGGCAAAGGGGGGCGGTAGCTGGCCTGTCAGACCCGGCGTTCGTCTTCTGCCCAAGCGGCGCGGGGCCCACGGGCCCCAGGGTTGGCGTCCCGCTGGGATTCCTCTTGTTCGCCCACAGGGTTGGAGGAGGCCTCCAGGCGAACAGAATGGGGCAGGACAATGAATGTGGGAGACTTGTCGCAAGCTCCCAGCCCCCCCCAAGTGTGCGCCCGAAGGGTGTGGGGCCGCGTTGGCTCCCTCAAAGGGCCGTCTTGGAGCCGTCTAGGCCCGTCTTGAGGGCGCCGTTTGCCCTGATGGGGCCGTCTTGGTTCGTCGTGGGCCCCTCATGGGCGCGTCCGTAGGCCGTCCTGGGCCCATCGGGGTCCTCGTGGGGCTGTCTTGGAGCCGTCTGGGACCGTGAGGAGGCC